AATGTTTTTATAGTTTATGGCCCCACAAGGTGGAAGGGGCGGATGGCTTACATCTCCCAGAGCCTGAATTCTATTCATTGAGTCTATGTCTGCTTTCAGAAGTTGGAGCAGTCTATCGCAGTCATTACATGACATTGCATACATGTTCAGTCACTCAGTTGTGTCCAACACTGCAACCTCCATGGAGCCTCCAGGCTCCTCTGTCCATGGGATTTCCCAGGCAAGAATATTTAAGTGTGTTGCTGTTTCCTCCTCCAGGGGATCTTCCCGACCAAGGGATTGAACCCACATCTGTGGCTCTTGCATTGGCAGGCAGATTCTTTACCACTGAGCCAACTGCCAAGCCCCTCAGTCTACCATTGCTGCTGCTGCTGCTAAGTCGCTTCAGTCGTGTCCGACTCTGTGCGACCCCATAGACGGCAGCCCACCAGGCTCCCCCATCCCTGGGATTCTCCAGGCAAGAACACTGGAGTGGGTTGCTATTTCCTTCTCCAGTGCATGAAAGTGAAAAATGAAAGTGAAGTTGCTCGGTCGTGTCCGACTCTTCGCAACCCCATGGACTGCAGCCTACCAGGCTCCTCCGTCCATGGGATTTTCCAGGCAAGAGTACTGGAGTGGGTTAGGTTCAGGTAAATAGGATCTCTGAATCCAGGACTCCAAAAAGGACTTTTTTTCTTTAGCAGCAGCAGAGCCAAGAGACTACTGGGTCAGACAGTGAGGTTCCAAGTCCCTTTTATCCTGCCAAATTTAAAGTTCAAATTGACCCATTCAAAAATACGCACATTAGGCTGGAAAATCATCAGCCTCTAAGAATTAGACATCTGATTTTGCAAGAACTTATTAGCAAATTAAAACCTGACTTTTAAAACTCAAAAGTAGATTTTCCTATAGAGATTTTCTCTCCTTTTATGTTGTCTACCTTTCTCATAGGCTCCAACAGGCAAAAATCTTAGCAAAGATAATCAGTTGTGAGATTTTAATAGCCAGCATTTAAATTTTAACCCATCCACCAGCAGCAAAAAGCAAGGATTTTATGTTCTACCAACACCTTTTATTGGGGAGCTTTCCCTGATTGGGATAATCCCTCTAACATATATGAAATTATAGGCATCTAGTATTTTAATGAGTTTTTGTCATACATCCAAAAGTAGTAGCCACACACACAAAAGTCATTTTTTAAAAAAGTCTCTCCCATTCTTTCTCTCTCCCTCTTTCTTTTTTTCATTGCAAGTTTGTACAACCCCCTCAACACTTTTCAGGACTGGCATTACAGCTGCTGAGAAACCCCAGCTGGAATGTAAGGGGCTGCTATACAAGAGGACAGAGTATTGCTTTTCACTTCTCCTTTATTTCTGGTTTATCTGAAGCTTGCTTTAGCCTTGGCACTGACAATCTTTTCCCCTCCCACTGGGAGAAAAGAACAAAACCCTAACGCATCATCCAGTTTGCAACTGCAATTTTTAATCTTGTCACTTTAGCTACCATTGCCAAAAGCAATCAAGACATTCAGTGATTCTCCTGGAGTTGCATGTATCATTTTGAAATTCCATGGGTAATGTTTACCTTTCACAACAGACATCATCTCTGCTGATGTTTCATACCATAGATGACTGGGTAGCCAGCTTGCATCAAAAGTTTATCATTATGTCCCCTTCATCCTTTTTCCAGACACTGCTTAGCCATATTTCAGTGAATGTTCTAGTGAATCCCACTTTTGACACCAGCTGCCACCCCCCAGTTCAGGGATTTGCTGGAATAATCCTCAAGACTCGTCACATTGTTGTACTTAAGGATAAAATTTATTACACTGAGAGGATATAGAATCAGAAAGGGAAAGACATACTGGGTGAAGTCTGAAGGATACCAAGAATAAGCCTCCAAAATTCCCTTTCCATTTCACTCCTGTAAAATATGCTTAATTTTACCAGCAATAAGTTGTGGTAACATGTGTGAAACATTGTTCAAAGGCTCATTAAAGACTTAATGCCCAGGGTTTTTACTGGGTAATGGTCATGTAGGCAGCTTCCTGTGAACCGAATGTCTGTGGTCCTCGAAAGTTCTTGTGTTAAAGCTTGACCCTCACTGTGTATTTGGAGATGGGGACTTTTGGAAGATAAGTAGATCCTGAGGGTGGAGTCTCGGGAATGGGATTAGTTCCTTTGTGATAATTTTATATGTCAGCTTTACTGGCTATGGGGGTACCTACACTAAACATTATTTGGGGGGATATCTGTGAGGATGTTTCTAGATAAGATTAGCATTTGAATCAGTGGGCTCAGTAAAGTAAATTGGCCACTGTGGGTGGGCATCAATCAGTTGAGGACTGGTATAGAACAGAAGGCAAATGAAGGTGAAATTCACCCTTTTTTCTTTCCTCACTGCTTGAACTGGGCTATCTCATCTCATTTTCTCTGTGCTTGGACTGGGACTTACAGCCTTGCTTTCCATGGAGGCCCTTGGACTTAGACTGAATCACACCACTTACTTTCTTGGGTCTCCAGCTAGCAGACTGGCGGATTGTGGGGTTTCCCAGTCTATAATTGCATGAACCAATTCCTCATGATATATATATACACACACACATATAAACACATACCTTTTTTCTGCACGTTTCCAATATTTGAATTGTTTTTGCCTGTAAGGCATTAAGGGCTTCCCAGGTGGCATTAGTAGTAAAGAAACTGCCTGTCAAGACAGGAGATGCAAGAGACTCAGGTTCAGTTCCTGAGTTGGGAAAATACCCTGGAGTAGGAAATGGCAACCCACTCCAGTATTCTTGCCTGGAAAAATCCCATGGACAGAGGATCCTGGGGGACTATAGTCCATAGGGTCGCGAATAGTTGGATACGACTGCGTGACTGGGCACATAAGGTGTTAGGGGAGAGCTCCCTGGTGGCTGAGCTGGTAAAGAATCCGCCTGCAATGCAGGAGACCCTGGGTCAGGAAGCTCCCCTGGAGAAGGGCCAGGCTACCCACTCCAGTCTTCTGGCCTGGAGAATTCCATGGATTGTATAGTCCATGGGGTCACAAAGAGTCGGACTTGACTGAGTGACTTTCACACTCAGAAGTGCAAGAGACAGATATTATTCAAAGAGATTTTAAGATACAGTCCTATTTCCTTTTCCCTACAATACTTTGAAGTCATTAGATATCTGCTCTGGGTTCTCCACCCCCTGTCCAGATTTTTTTTTTTTTCCAGAAATTGGAAGAAAGCACAGTTTTGTCTTAAGAGAAACAGAAAAAAAGAAGTCCATCCATAGTCATTTTTTGTGGACAGACCTGGTTCTATTTCCCCAAAGAAAATTATCTGATTTCTTTCTTTAATAACAGAGACAACCAACAATGATGACATAGAATTATATATTTTCCTTTCTCATCTGGGTCACTGAGAAGTCAGGCCTCCTCCATTCTTTAATAAAAATATTACAAAGTAACAAGCATGAACCCTATAATTTAAAGCAAAAAATAAAAATATAAGCCATCTTGTGCATTGGTTCCTTTCCCTTAGTAAGGTGAGTTGTGGAATAGTGCTCTAGGAACATTGGTACAGTTAAGTCAATTTTTACAGCTCAAGGAAGAAACTTTATATGGAAAATGTCCAAGAATGCTTCTACTTAAAAATATAAGTTTTGTTAAAAATTTCTTGGAATCCTGGCAGAACAGTGGAGAGAACCTGGACTTACTTCTTGCTTCAAACTTGGCTATGCTGCTCAGAAGTAATTTCACTTTGGGAAAGTGATGATCTATGAATTAAATTTCCTCATCTATAAAAATGTGATGAAAATACGCCAAGCACAGGGTTGTTAATAATGAAAATAACATGTAAGATACTTGACTCCATCCCTGGCACAAAGTAGGGGCTCAATAAATGTAATATTCTTCTTACCTTGGGGAAGAAAAAGCCTACTAAGAGACAGGAACTCTAAGGTTCATAGAAGCTCTATAAATAACAGCCCCAAATGGAAACAACCCAAATATGACAGCCCCAAAAGCCCATTAATAGTAGACTGAGTTTTTAAAAAGTTGGATAATCATACTATACAATACTATGTAGCATGAACTACTGTTCATAAACAGTAAACTATAAACATAAACTATAGACACAAGGATAAATCTCACTAACATAATGTTAAGTGACACAGAGTAATACATGCTATATAAGTCCATTGAAAAGTCAGAAACAGGCAAATTAATCTACAGTGATAGAGGTCAGAAATCTTAACCTTTTGGAGGGAGATGAGATTAGAATGGGGAAGGAGGGAGACTGCCAGGGTACTGGAAATGTTGCCTTCATCTGCATAGTGGTCATTAGAGGGGTACACGTATGTTCAGATTCATCAGACTGTATACTTAGGATTTGCACATTGCATGTGTATATCCTTTACCTTTGTACATGTATAAATAGCACATCAAAAAAAAAAAAACTTTTTGCCCCAGGAGCTAGATTTTATATCAGTATCAAATTTATTTATTAGGAGAATCTCTGGCTCTAGATATGACATGCCAATAGCCGGCTATCTTGCAGGCTGCAGTCTGTCCCTTGTAAGCGACCCCGTTTTAGACCTGGCCTGGAGCTGACAGGCATATTATGAGGGTCATGCTCTATCACCATTGACAGCTGGAGAGGCCATCACATGCCATCAGCAACAAAGCACAGGGAAAACCAGGCGGTGGACTGTACTTCCCACCCTTCGGCTGCAAGGCACAGCCCCAGCAATGGAAGGATTAAAAAGCCTCTCAATTTAAAAAGACAGGGGGAGGGGAGGGGAATGTGGGCTGCACAATTTATAAATAGACACTACCAGAGGCTGCCTGAGTGTGAAGTGGTTGTTTAGTAAATCTTTCTCCTTTAAGGATTCCATTATCAGAGACCATTTGAAAACATCAGTTTCGTTTTGTCTCTTGGGGAGATCCTGGGTTTCATAAAGTCAGCCCTGTTGGGTGATATTTCTCTCTGCTAGATTTAGGGACAGGCCTTGGATATTCTGAAGCGCCTTTACATGGAGCACAATGATGATGATGATGATGATGATGTGTCTTTTGCCAAATGGATGAGCAGCTTCTGGGGTCACAGCTGGATAGAGGAGGATGAGCGAGGACTCCGGGACCGCCGTGGATCGCAAGACGCCAGTTACAGGAAAAGCTCCCTGCCTTGCCCAGTGAGTTGTTACAATGGAGCCAGGGGAGAACCAAACTAGGGGAGGGGGGTTTCTCTTTGGTTTTTTTGAGGGTCCTATGATATGAAGTTTTCTTTGGTGGAAATGAGTACTTCCAAACCTTTTTTTATATTCACAAAAAACCCTCTCATCATTTTATCTTGTCCTCCAAGGGACCTGATTTTCATCTATTAAGTAATGATTCCTTCATTTTTAGCAACCTAAGATATATTTAACTGCTACTCAGAGCTCCTGATAAGCCTGGGATAATCCTATTGAGTGGTAATACAATTCAAGCCAAAGGAAAGAAACCCGATGTTATAGTCTGTGTAGCACTGATGTGAATCACTGTTTGATTTCCAGCACTCTTTTTGAAACACTGAAAATAGCTCGACTGTTTGGTGGCATCTAAGGAACTGGGGATGCTACTTAATAAATCACTACCCCTGAAAAATTTGATGTACTCTTTCTTCTGGTTCTCATTTAGTTTCCTGGTGGGAGAGACAGCCAACATCTACCACCCTCAGCACTGTTTTTCCATGGCTAGGCAGGGGACAGGAGAGCTCTTGAGAGGGGAATGGGTGGACCTGACCAGGTGTGGGCTCGGCAGTGGGTACACGTGCACTTAGAATTCCAGCTGCCGGAGAAGATTTCCCCAACCCCCTGCTATGCTAACTCCAGAACCAGATAAGTTTTGGGGGTGATGTTATTTTATTTTTAGCTCTAAAGTTTCCAGAAGCATAATGGATGTGAAGTATATTAAAGCATGAAAAGCAGTCTTTTACTCCCAATGGTCAGCAAGTTTGAGGAATAAGACCTCTTTGAGACACAAATATTTGAAAATAGTTCTCTTAAAAAGCATAGTTGGGGGCCAAGGGAGCGTTTCAACACTTCACTGAACTCCAGGTTCTTTAAGTGAAAACGGACAGAGGTTGCACTGGATGATCTACAAGAACCCTTCTAGTCTTACTTTCCATAATTCTGTTATAAAATAAACCCTTGCTTATTGTGCTCATGTTTTAATCTTTTTATGGCCCACACTGAGGGAGGTATTAATAATGTGTGAACCAGGAATATGACTCGTGTTTAGCCAAACAGTGAGAACCAGGGAGAAACAAGGAGAAAAAAGTGAGGTTCACTGTTTATCACAACAGCCCTTTGGAGCCACCAAAATATGAAAACAAATAAACAGGACATAAAATATAGTCTCTTGAATAGATTTTAACATTTATTAGACTTTAAAAACTAGGATGATCTACCTTACTTAGAGAATCCACTTGTGCGTTGCAATATTGCTTGCCTTAAACTCTTGGAGAATAGCAGAATTTCTTTGTATAACATTTCTAAAGAGGGTCCATATGTCTTTTCCTGCTCATACTGGCTTTGGGCACTTGCCTGAGTTAACCTGTTTAGATTCTCTGAGTTGACAGTGAATTCCATAATTAGCAGACTAGCAGGCAGAAAGCACGTGTTTATTTAAGGAAACAAAGTGCAGGTGAAACATGACAACCTAACCGAGTAGAGAAGGCACAGAACACAGATCGGGGGGCCCCGGGGCAAAGTAGGCAGAGTCCTAGAGAGTGGCGGGCCTGATTCTTCATCCCTTCATCCCTGCTCACGCAATGCCATGGATTTCTGAAGTGACTCTGTAGTCGGATGCTTAACTTTTCCTGACTCTAAAGCATGCTCAAATTTTTCTTCCTTTAGAGATACGAAAACAATTAGGTTTTCAAGTTTTGTGTTTTGCTTTGAGCTCAGAAAAAATAACTTGAAAAAGCTTACTCTAGACTTATCTTTTTCTTTCTCTCCCCACTGCTCCACTCAAAGGATCTTCCCTTGCAGCCTGTTAGTAGCCTGCATCCATCAGTTTCATATCCATGCGAAGAATTTTCCCCTTCTTTCCTATCTGCATGTGGTTTCCACTGTGGCTCTTCAGCCTCACGATTCTTGCAGAACCATAGTGATGGAACATTAAATCATTAAACATATTTATTGAACGCCTACTGTGTTGGTGTTCAGGGCACAATAGGATTACAGGGGAGAAGACATATACTGTGTCTGTCCTTTGGCATGTCCAAGCTAGTGGAAAATACAAATTTGGCAGAAAGAATGAGGTAGACAAGGCATAAAGCTTGCCCCATCTTAGAGAACACTACTATTTTGGGCATCTACTGATAGTAGAAGAGAGGAAACCAGTCCAGGGAGCATTATGATAAAAGCTCCCCTGTAGAATTGCCACTGACGCCTGAAATCTATTACTAATTTCTTAGATGAGTAGAGAACACACACTACTTTTTGACCAGGCTCATTATAATCTGTGATTGCTGATTTAAATCAAATGAAAAATCTAACTTTACTGTCCTGAGGTACCTGGGTGAAAAAAAAAGACATTTTCGCCTCTCTCATTATTGAACGAATCTTCCTCCCCCATTGTCACATGAATACAAACTGGAAGTAGAAAAACCTCCGTATCCCTTATTTATTCTACTCACTGAAAGTGAACTTTAAATAGTTGATTTGACTTTCTCATCTTCAGATTAATGTGGTTCTCTTAGCCTTGTTCTGCACAGTTAGGGCCTAGTGGAAGTGAGGATTATGCTGAATGATAGGCCTCTTCAAGGAGGAACTGAGTTCCCGGGCCTTGGGCTTCCCCAGTGCTTCTTCGATGCTCACATAGGCACAACATGTACTGGTCCACATCATATTATTTGAGGGGGTTCAAAATAAACCTCTTACCTATCTGTACCCCAAGGGTTTTTTTTTTCTTTTTAAAAACAATCACCTTTAACCAATTTTATATCCTGTCTTTATAGTCTCAATTTAAAGCTGCAGAAGTGAAGTGAAAGTCGCTCAGTCATGTCCAACTTTTTGTGACCCCATGGACTGTATCCCACCAGGCCCCTCTGTCCATGGAATTCTCCAGGCCAGAATACTGGAGTGGGTAGCCTTTCCCTTCTCCAGAGGCTCTTCCCAACCCAGGGACTGAACCCAGGTCTCCTGCATTGCAGGCAGATTCTTAACCAGCTGAGCCACCAGGGGAGCCCAAGAACACTGGAGTGGGTAGCCTATCCCTTCTCCAGAGGATCTTCCTGCCCCAGGAATCGAGCCAGGATCTCCTGCATTCAGGCAGATTCTTTCCCAGCTGAGCTGCCAGGGAAGGAAGCTGTAGAAGATGTATCTAATTTTAATTTTTGCCTTGATTGACCTCAGGGTTGTTACACACTCCCGCCATCGTAGTATCTCACTACAGTGGTGGTTCTCCACTAGCTGCTCGCTGCAGGGGTAGGGCGGGCCTTGGCCCCCTTAGAGGATTTCTCACACCTGAAGAGGGGAATGCCCGAAAGTTTCGTGACTAATGTGGTTTCTTGTTTTTCAGCTTAAATTTGTATTCCATTTAAAGAGGAGACAAACTTGATCCAAAAAACATTAGTAATAAATTTCAGGCATCAGTGACAATTCTACAGGGGGGCTTTTATCATAATGTTCCCTGGACTGGTTTCCTCTCTTCTACTATCAATAGAGGCCAAGACGGAGGAGTTTCTGGGAAGGGAGCAGAGTGGAGTGGGTGAGAGAGGGCTCCGAGGTGCCTCCCAGTGTCTACACTGGCAGCGTAACCTCTCTCTGTACCTGGGATTGATGAAAATAGTACATACGTGATGCAGGTGTTGTTAGGATTCAGTGAGTAACGTGTGCAGTGCACTTAGAACAGTGCCTGGGACCTAGTGAGCGCTCCTCCTCCTCCCCTTCTCTTTCCCACCCCTCTCCCTCCCCTTCCTCGTCTTTTTCCTTATGTGTCAGGGTTTAAATTGCCTTTTAGTTTCCCTAAAGGATGTCCAGTGGATGGTATTGACCTACCGTTTTACTGGTTGAACACTTGAATCTTTTTTCCTGACGCTGTTTCCATATAATGCTGGTTGACTAATTTATAAATCTCTTGGCTCTGTTGATAGGCAGTTAGACTACATTATAAAATATTCCTCACATAAAATTCATTTAGACTATTTCTTAAAGAACTACAAATTATTATTACTTTTGTAATAGGATTTTGTTATAGCCAGTACATTATTTAAAGCCGTGTTTCACTTAGAAATAGAATGAATTTGTTGCTGCTGTTGAAGATAAAAGTTTGGGATTATTAATCCGATGAAGGGGCTTCTCCAGGTGGCTCAGTGGTAAAGAATCAGCCTGAAAAAAAAAAAAAAAAGAATCAGCCTGCCAAGCAGGAGATGCAGGTTCGATCCCTGGGTTGGGAAGATCCCCTGGAGAAGGGAATGGCAACCCACTCCCGTATTCTTGCCTGGAGAATCTTATAGACAGAGGAGCCTGGCAGGTTGCATTCTGTGGGGTCACAGAGTCAGACATGACTCAGGCACTAAACAGCAGCAACAGCAATCCAAGGAAGAGGCGTCTCTGCTGAAGCGCTCGCCTCTCCGTAGAGTCACTGGCCATGTAAGTCTTAGGCAAGCCTCCCAGCCAAACCAAGATTCATTTCCCTCATCTGTGAGAAGGAAAGAATGGCTCCCTGGTAGGATTCGTTCAGAGACTGGAGATAAGGCCTGGTCCCCAGAGTGCCTGATACACACAGTGCACTAAGATTCAGCATGGGTCTTAATTATCTCAGCGCCTGGATCTTTCCCCACTTATTTCTCATCATGTTCAGGCGCTTGCATTTACTCAGAGGGCAGGGGGGTAACAACTGAAGGGTGATTATAATTAAACCCAGAGAAGGCAATGGCACCCCCTCCAGTCCTCGTGCCTGGAGAATCCCAGGGACGGGGGAGCCTGGTGGGCTGCCGTCTATGGGGTTGCAAAGAATTGGACATGACTGAAGTGACTTAGCAGCAGCAGTAGCAGTATAATTAAACCCAGAATAAAAACCTTCAAGTAGTTCTTGGAGTGAAGGTGTTACATAACTATATTTTCAAAAGCCGAGAACCTGTGGCTTAGAGTCAAGAGTGCATAGGATTTTTTTTTTATTTTTGGACAAAAATGGTTTTCTGGCA